CATTTCGTTAGGATTTTCTTTTTTCTTTCTTTTTCTATTTATTTTGAAACTTAAGCTTTCTTGGTTAATTAAAAAGTAACATTACAACATTATTACAGAAGGGGAAAGACTATCAGCTTTCTCGACGCGTAATGCGTGTTGCTCATATTTCGCAGGAAAGAGCCAGAGTTTTTGTTTTTCTTACTCAATTTAATAGGTCATTATATGTAATGCCTTGAATGGTCATTATATATAATGACACAGGCATTATATTTTGGTATATAATGTATTTACTTTACAAATAATGTATATATTGATGTGATCAGTAACGGATATCCCGCCAGTGGGGGGTCTTTCCTTGATCCCAGTCATCGTGGAAGCTGTTTTTGATTTAGAAAAACAAGAAGTTTTCTAATATAAACCTGATGCCACACAGGGTTTGAGGATGAAATATTTCTGAGTGCCTTTTGATGAAAGTTTTGGGACATGTGTCGGGGTTATATTCAGTTTCATTCTGTTAGCCATGGCTAAGAGACCTTAGTTAAAAACTTGTCCAAAATCACCAGACACTCCACCTTTCTGTCTAGCTGGTGGACAGTTTCCAAAAATTTACGTTGACAGAAAAGTAATAAAGGTAGGAGAAGACGCATTGTGTGTGCTAAAGCCAAGGAAAAGTGAAAGCAAACAACGTATTTTGAGTGCGAAATATGCAATGTAGGACTGTGTTGATCCCCGTTTTGAATTATTTCACACACAGGAGAATTTTTAAATTGGAATGGGTTGATCTTTACAATATGGTAACTGGTAGTTTGGCGACATTTTGGAGGCGATAAAGGTTACTACCGGGACTTTGGTAATAATGTGAGCAGTACTCAGTTCCGATTACGCATTATTTTGTGTGAGGGAAATAAGAGATCATGGGATATGTCATGTGATATTAATGGACGAAATTACGGTTCTTGAATCGGAAAAGGGGGAAATCGGGAAAAAAATCTGGAAATTGGAAATTTGTATTTGGTTTTATTCTGTGTTGTGTGAAACAGTGTTCGTGAATTTTGGATCCCATGGCCGTAACTAAAGAAAAGTTTATCGGACACGTAATCAAGATTTATGAAAGAAGATTAGGTAAGTTAGTATTTTTAATAATTTGAGATATTATTTTTATGCATTGTTCTAAATGTAAGGTGGAAAGGAATTTTGTATTATTGGGAAAATTGTTATTAGCAATGATTTAGTTTAAAGTAATTAGGATTGTAAGGTAATTTTTATTAATTTAATGTATGTGCTCATTTATATTTTAAGTAGGTTTTTGAATTTAATTATATTTTAATGAATGATAGTTATTTTGTGAATTTTATGTTTGTAGGAATTTGGTATACGTTTAAGTTGAAATAAACGTGCATGGAAATAATTTAATATTTGATATTAAGTATTTGTAATGCTTGCGGTATGAATTCTTTGGTGACGTGTATAATGTATAGATGATTTAGAGGTAAAAGTTTTTTGGATATTTTATTTTATTTATTTATATGTGGAAATTCATATTTGTAAAGGGTAAATACTTTTTCGCGATCAGGTAATTTCATATATGTTCTTTTTACCGGGTTTAAAGATTGAAGAAATTGTCATGTATTTTGTGAAATTTTTCTAATTTATGAGAAAAAAGCAGTGTACATGGATATAGTGAAGAGTGTGTGCAATGCCATTTTTGTGCAATTGTGGGATGTTTTTTTTTAAGTAAAAATAAGTCGACGTGTACATGGTTTAGTGATATTTTAATTAAATGATAGTTATTTTGTGAATTTTATGTCTGTAGGAATTTGGTATACGTTTAAGTTGAAATAAAACGTGCATGGAAATAATTTTAAATATTTGATACTAAGTATTTGTAATGCTTGCGGTATGAATTCGTTGGTGACGTGTATAATGTAATAGATGATTTAGAGGTAAAAGTTTTTGGATATTTTATTTATTTTATGTGTGGAAATGTTCATATTTGGAAAGGGTAAATACTTTTTCGTGATCAGGTAATTTCATATATGTTCTTTTTACCGGGTTTAAAGATTGAGAAAATTGTCATGTATTTTCGTGAAATTTTTCTAATTTATGAGAAAAAAGCAGTGTACATGGATATAGTGAAGAGTGTGCGCAATGTCATTTTTGTGCAATTCTGGGATGTTTTTTAAGTAAAAATAAGTCGCCGTGTACATGGTTTATGTGTATGTGTTATTTTGAAAAACGCGTAAGGAGTATGGTATTGTGCACTTTTTCCCAATTTTGCAGTGAATATTTGTCATGATTAAGCAGTTTTGTTTGATAAAATTTCTAGCATAAGTGTAATTCGGCTACTAGATTGTTGGAAGAAGTGTTTAGTAGATAAAAAGAAACATGTCTTTACTTCGTGAAGACAAAATGGCGGCGGGGGAAAAAAAAATAGAGGGTTGCTGTAGGAGAGTTGGTCGCCAAATTTTCGCCAAAAAAATGCCAAGTTACCATAATGTAAAGATTAACCTTGGAATTTAATTACCTACAAGCAATTCTGTCTAGTGGGTTTTTTTTTTTTTTTTTTTTTTTAAATTTCGTATTTGTAAATTTTTTTTCATGTTTATAGTATTTATTTCTGTGGTATAGTCACGATGTTAGTATTTTGCCGGTTTAACTTATTTCTATTAATGTGATATTCTTTATATTAATACACATTAAAAACAAGTACATTAAATATGCAACTTCAAAAGTTGAAGTCATAATATCAAAATGCTGATTTTGTACAATTTTTTTTTTTTTTTTTTTTTGTAAAATTAGGCTTAACTGCTGAAAACGCGCAGGCCGGTGGCGACGATCCGTTTCAGTGGGTCCAGTCCCGTGACTGCGCTTCATTCTCCCAGCGCTGGTCCATAAGGGGTTAAAATAAAGTAAACATCTTAATGGAAGTTTTTGAAAACATAGACCAAAATAAGTAATTATATAAATTTAGCTAATAAATGCTGTTTAAATACAGATCTTCATGAGAAGAATTATAGGCTGATTGTTTCTGATCAGTTGTACGAAAATGTCACTTTTTGTTCATAACTAATTACAAATGTTGGTAAATTTCATTCTCCTTGAATTTGAAGATATGTCATGTGTAGAAATATCACATTACACACTGCAATAGACCAGATTGTGAATACCTATCTATATACAACTAAGCGTGTAAAAGCGTGAATTCAATGTAGGTAAACATCTGCTTGGAACATTTCTTCTGAATGACAATTTACAATTATAAATAACATTTAAGATAGCCCAAAAAATTCTTAATTCCGAGATTCTTAGCAGTTGAACAAAAACGTTTACTTCTGCAAAATCAAAAATCAGATACCTATTCTTCAAAACAGGTTTTATATCAGGACTGTTTTAACGCATGGGAATCTCAAGAGCATCGGGGAACCTTATGCTAATTTCAGTATGTCAATTGACTTGTCATTAGCATTGTAACATACAAATTAATTATAATCTATAAAACCGAAATTATATACGATGTGTTAAAATGTACTAAACATTTACAATATTGGTAAGTAGGGTATAATTCCAGCTCAAATGTATATGCTATCTTAATGGCCATTTCATTCCTGCGTATTTTAGGGACTTCCAATAGAGGCTCCCAGCACACTGGTTTGCCCAGGGGCCATAACACTGTGATGGCATTAGTTTTTTAACAGAAATCCTTAACCTGATTATTAATTTATTAAGATAAATGGAAGTCACAGTCAGTATATTTACTTATATTGGCCTTAGCAGCATTAAAATTGCTCATACCGTAAGCTCATAAATATCAAAACTTATTGCATAAATATCGTACATTGCTTAGGATTAATTTTAAAGCATAACAATATGCTGATGATTAATTTTAAAACATACTGCATAAAATGCTGATTAATTTAATTTCGGAACAGAGAATTAACAAACTACAGCTGTTGTCTTTCAATATAAAAAAAAAAAAAAAATTCTGACAATCTTGATAGTTTTATATTATAAATTTAAACCCAATAAAAGACAATATGAATGGAAAATTGTTTTTAAACAGCCTGAAATATTAACAGGTATTTTATTACTTCACCTATAAAATAAACAAGGTAAAGAACATACATAATATTATTATTTCTTATTTTGATGAACATAATTTTACTTACTACATTTACCGTACTTCATTACTCTGGAAGAAAGTGGATACTTTGGCTAATTTTAAAAATACTTCATTAAACATGATTTAGTGAATAACTTTTCTCTCTTAAGGAGATCTTTTGCATTTTAATGGCAAAATTTCTTCCCAGCTCTTCTTCAACTAGGCCAAAATTAAGTATAAATGTGTAAAAAAATTAGAATCCTTTTAATTTCATTTTTAAATTTCGGTTACTAATATAGATAGGGAAAACTGAAATAAGCAGCTCTGCATATCTATTTAAAGTTTAAATATAGATTAATATAAATACAGTAAATTGAAATGAACAGCTATCATAGTTAAATGCAGTTCCTTTTTGAACCTTTAAAATACGACTCTATGAATTCAGTTTAATAATGAAAATGTTCAGGCTGATACTGAAACTAATATTGGAACAGATTCAAAATTTTTAAAATGAAAAAAATTATCAATTTTGATAAGGATAACAGTGAAATGTTTCCCATGTGTTCAGAAAAATTAAATTCAATTTTTCAAATAACAAACTCCGTAATAACTGCAACCAGAAGCATTTAGCCAAAAATAATAATGTAATTCAAAAAGGGCTTTACTAATGTGAGAAACCTCAAAAATCTCATTCAGTTGTTGAGAGCTGGGATCAAATTCAGGCTAACTATTAACACTTTGCAGTTTCTGTATTCATCTAACAGTAGAAAATTAGACTTGATTAATAATATAAAAATATTTTTTCGATAAGAAACTCTGTTGCAGATGAGGAAAAATTTAGCATTTCATATATAAAAAATGCTTAACCTTAAAAAAAATTTAATATTTTAGGTATAACATTAAAAAAATTAGGACTTACCAAAAAATTCTTCCCATTTGAATTCATCGTCAGATTCTTGTTTAGGAACAAAATCAGTAGATGACTGGCACATTTCAGAATTCCTCCCTGGTGTTTTCTCCATGCGGTTAAAAACCATCAATATAATCCTTAAGATTCACTGTCTACAGCCGAATTTGAAGAAAGACGTTAAAATAAAAAAGCATCGTCCGATAGCTCCACTACTCTCCTGCTGACGATAAAAAAATCCAAAAAACGTTCCTTCGTTAAGCACACTATAATACCGAAGTTCTCGCTTCTAAGCCGGAAGAAGCGTGACTTGGAATGATCTTTACCGGAAATTGTAAAAAGAGTACAAATATTATTCCGCGACACTGAACTACAAACCACTTTCAGAAATAGGTCACCATGTGTGACATAATCTTTGGCCATGATATAATAACAATTTCTTCAAAAACAAATCACATTGTAACTAGAAGATCAAATCGTAAACAGACATTCAACATTCTCATTCAAAGTTCTAATTACCTTTGTGTGAAGAAAAAAGTCAGAAATACAAACATAATTTTCAATATGAAAGATATCAGTCAAAGTCTATTCCACTTATTCTAAAGTCTCAATGCCAATTAAGGTTCTTAGCTGATTCAATGTTGTATTAAAAAAGCCATATGTCACAAACATATTTAAGAAATTGTGCAAAAATAAACCTGATACATATCCAAACAAACTATTCGAGAATTCGAACAGGTTAATGTGTATTTTCTTATCAGTTGGCTGATTCAAAACACGTTTATAATATTTATGACAATTCACATTTAAGTAATAGCACAAGACGCATTACATGTTATCCTCAGGCACTTTAAATGAACTATTTCACTCACTGACACCCTTCACTTCGGAACAACTTCGCAGATCGCATGAAACACCGCCGTCTCACTGCCAATTCTCAAACCGCGTAAACAAGGGTTATAAGAATAATTGATCGCCAAGCTAAATAACCATCAATAAAAACTCGCCAAATCTTCACTTTATTTTTTAAATACTATTACTCGCGAATTTAACGTCTAAAGTATTTTGCCTTTTTACATATTTTGTTTATTACATGTGTAAGTTAATGTAATTTAAAATAAAGTTGAATAACGTTTCATACAATTTTAAGTTATATTTAAAAGATAAGCAGCAGTACGATTTCACCAGTTCTTCTGTAGAGGATGGGTTTTAGATTTATACTAAATCTATACAACATTTAAATCGTAGTTTAGAAGGCAAACTTGACTTAGTAAACGTACGGAATTTCGATAAGCTACATGTTTACTGGATCACACCGTCGAAAATTGAATGACGCCAAATAAGCGAATTTTGCCAAGATATTGTTGTCTCTTCCTGTGACGAAGGGAAGTTCATCGGGAATAGTCCAACTACCTCGAAGTAAAGGGAGAGAAAACGTAAAAATGGACAGAGGGAGAAGTAAAACGATATAACGGAGTTAGAAAAAAACTCAAGGTTAATACATACAAACGTGTCATCTAGTGTAAAAAAAAAAAAAAAAAGTGACGCCATCATTGACCAGAAAATTTTTACAAAGTTTCATACCCGAATAATTCATACATTCGGGCCTTTATAAAATAAAGACTGGTTTAAAAAAATATCGAATTTAAAGAAGTCATATAATATTACACTTTTGCAAACTAAAACAGATGAAAGAGTTTTGAAGTGTCATACACGATAAAACTATCAGCCTTTACATCAGTTATTTTAAATTAATGCTTTTGGTATTTCTGTTCTACAATTTCTTTTCTTCGCAGATGATTTTTGGAAAGTACCATATAATGTGCTTCCAGTCAGTGTCCTGATTTTTTTAATTAATCGAGATTGTCATTTAAACATAACCGGTACAGTAAGAGTTTTAAATACATTTTAAAAGTTCTATTTAAGTCTGTAGTTTTTTATACTATATATGTATTCTGCATATTCCGATAAAGACACTACAAATTTTTATGCTTGCTAATTAGTTCAAATCCCAATTTCGACTACTTAGCAAGGATTTCATGTAAAGGTAACTTCTCTTTGTTCTTAGTTACAAAATCTGAAATGAAACTAAGTGCAAACGAGGCATAATCCCGGCCAGAAAATCTGAGGGGAGGGAGAAAGGCAACTTTTTTTTATTCTACAACGCTCGGGATTGTAGAAATCACCTTTTTAATTTTTAAAGTCCACCAACACAGTGTTTCCTTCTCGCTATTCTGAAAATTTAGCATTTGGAAATTTAGTTCGATCACTCGCCATTGAAAGAATGTTTTAGAAGTGAAAGGGAAATCGCATTTAGCATAAGTTCTGTTTTTTTTTTTTTTTTTTTTTTTTTTTTTTGCATTAAATTTTCTTTCAGTTATACAAAAAAGCATAACAAAAGTGTAAAAATGTGCTTTTCGATTAAGCAAACAATGTTAGTTTCAAATATTTCAGCAACCTGAATTTTATTTTATAATAAAATTTTGAAAATTTTTATCTAAATCTTTCTCTTTACTTTCTGAAACAATTTTTTAAATTAGTTTTATTTCTTGAAACTTTAAAAACTCAGTCAAACTTCTATCATCATGTCACAGTTCTTAAAAGTTAAGAATACTGCAGAAAAGGTTAAAATTTTACTTAGGTTCACGTGTGTTTCGTTTTAGCATTTTATACATTAATTTTCAATAATGAGAGATTTCAGCACATAATTTAATTGTACTTTAAAGGTAAGAAAATTTGCTCATATATTCTGAACATTGCATAATTGTTTCTTTTGTATATGTTTTCTTGTCTTAAAACAATACATAGATACATAAATTCAATACATAAATTCATAATAAAAGCCGCCCAGCCGCTATAGTGGTTAGTGACCCTAATTGCCATAGCGATGGACTCGGATTGGAATCCCGAAGAAGGCATGGTTATAACTGTTCCTCGCTTCATAGCAGGCAACGGTGGACCTACGGCCTACCGCAATGGTGGCAAGACTAAGGGCTATTATATAAAGCGTTCGGTCATTTAAAAAAAAAAAAAAAAAAAAAAAAAAAAAAAAAAAAAACTTTTAAAAAAATGGCCTTGGAATCAAAAAGAGCTGTGAATGCCTTACTTTTTGTATATGTCACTATAATTCATGCGCATAAATTAAATTTAAGATGCTATTAGACAGAAATTTTAGTAGAAAACTTCGCGCAGCATTTGTACTTAAATTTGTATTAAATATCAGCATAGTAACATTTTGCAAAAGTAGGCTTTCCCAAGTCATGGGTAATTTTGGAACTGCGATAGCAAATAACAAATGTGATGAAACACACCACCTTTAAAATTAACCAAATTTTATCTTAGAAAGGCATTTGTTTTAAAGAATATTTCTGCGCATTTCGAAAGAATCTGATAAAATCCTCTCCTCGTTTTTTTTTTTTTCTTTTTTTTTTTTTTTTTTTTTTTACTGTAGTTTATCCATAAAATTTAGTAACTTACAACTGCAAATTAATTTTGAAGAAATAGTGTATGAAGACGAAACTCGGATCTCTCTTCTTTAGGTTTCTGTTAGAAAGTACTCCAGGAAAGAATCACTTGCCTTTGGCAGATAGCCCCCGTGACCCTTTGCCATATTCAGTTAACCTAATCTAACTTTTCTTCGTTTAGGATAACCAACAGCTGAACGGCTAAAGCTAAGAAACAATGGAAATTTGGCTCCAGTTAGATTCTCGGCACCTAAAATGTCTGGCTAATTGATTTTTTTCAGAATTGCCTACTGTCCATAAAGTATAATGGTTAAGTGACGCTGACAGCCGTATCGAAGGGTTCGGGCTCGAATCCCGGGAAAGGCATGGTTGTTGGTAAGCCTATAGTGTAAGGCCTCTCACGCAAGAAGAATTTCATAGTTTCAGGGAGGGATACGGTCAGCTTGACTTAACCCGAACGTATTTTTCGAGATTGGGAAAAGGATGGCGGAATGATCTTCTAGCAGTGGTGAAAGAGGTGCATGGAACATAAAAGGGTTGAAAAACCACTGCTGTAGTGTCTGTGCGGCAAAGGGGCACTCAAAATACACTGCAAGCTGAAATCCTCTAGAGAGGTTACTGGTAGGTAAAGAAAGGTGGAAGAGCCTCAGACCCTCCCCCCGGGGGCACTCTTCGTTAGAATTCCATTCCAAGAGAACCTTAACAGTTAGCAAGGCCCAGCAATACATAATGTGCCGAAATGGATGTAGAGGTGCTGGCTCTTTTTCGAGCTGTACCTGCTCTTTTCCTTAATTTTAATTGTATATACCGTATTTTAGTCACGTATGACGTTAGATGCAAACCCGAATGTTCTGTTACTGATGTATTAGAGATATTTTTATCAGTTGCTGTAGTTTAAAATGTTCTTTTGTTAATGAAGCTATTCCAATATCTATTAAGATGGAAATTATCTTTGCATTTTTTCCTTAGTAATAACCCTTCCTTCTCTGAACGCTGTAAAGTCTGGATCATTATTCATGACAATATGGCAGAATCGCGCTCATAGAAAATTATGCATAAACGTCTAAATTCTAGTCCTCTATGCGTAAACTTCTGAGATGTAACTCTATTTTATACGAGATGTTAGCTTACCTATTATACTTTAAAAATAATAAATAAGTTAGTTGTCTTGTTTGTATTTCATGACAACCGCCTCATATTATCCTCCATTGTCATAAAATGTTCGGCCCACCAGCCGCCGAGCGGTAAAGTCGCTGAACACTGGTAGTTCGGTCCAAAGTTCGAACCCTTTAGAGAGTCCTCCGTGAAGGCATTCCACCCTTAGGGGGATAGCCCTCGAGGCTTTGCTGTAATTACATAAACCAAACCAAACCATAAAATGTACAATATGATTATTCATGTTATGATATTGGAGATTTTTTTTCTTTGAAGCAAAAGAAAAAAAAAGTGCTAACCAAAAGTTTACGCTTGTTTTTCGAGGTAAGCAACGTTTAATTGTGAACAATAATATAGCAGTTATGAAATAATAAATCTGAAGTTTTTTGGTACTTAGTTGTGGTAGAACTGGTGTCTGTGATAAACAAATGAATGGCTTCTTTCAGCAAAACCTATGAAGTAAATCATTCTATGTAGACAGCCATCTGTACCTAAACAGTTTCTGTCAGTAATTGCCAGTAAGATTTCTGTCAGTAATGCTTTACCTTAAAATGCATTTGAGATGAGACCGAAGTCAGGACAAGGATGAGGTAAGTAAGACACTTGCCTCAGGTGAACATCAGGAGAGGCGCCAAATTTTAGAAATGTACTTAAAAAATAAATTACGAGAGTTAACTTTCGATTCTGAAAAGTAATGAAAAGCACCGTTTTAAAATAACAATTTAAATCTATAAAAAGGCATTACATTCTTGAGAATTTGCGTGAATCGCTTGCATTCTTTGAATCGATGAACCTCATCAAATCAAAAACTTAATTTATTATTAATGATTTAATATTTAAAAGAGGACAAAAATCTAAATCATTACAACAGATTGAACCTAACAGAATCTTTGAGCAAATCATTTAAAAATTTTATGTATGTTTTTGTGGATTACAATGCTGCAAGAAAATAAATAAAACCTTGTAGTAAAAATTTTAAAATACACATGCAAATTTTTAGACATGTTTAATAGAGGGATTAACCTAATATCGAATGCCGGAGAATGGGTTAACTGAATGAATGAATTAGTGAATTTCATTTTTTCCCCATATGAAATGTAAATACGAGCTTGTTTCCCTTAGAAAGCTGTCTCCACTTAGACAAATAGCCCCCGTAAGTTTGTCATACCTAGTTAAACAAATAAACAGAACAGAAAGGCTATTTCATGTCTTTACGGAAAATGAAAGAAAATATTCTTGAGAAATGTGAAAATTTAGCTTTCACGATGAGTGTGTATAAACAGAAATTGTAAGAATT